AACAGCAGTTGCTGGTAGGCGGTAGCTTCCTCAGTGTTAGAAAGAGTATTTAAGGGATGGTATAAATACCAGTGAGCCTACCGGTAAGTGGGAAGTGTCCACCGGTCAAATAGGCTCCGTAAACGAAGCCATCATAAAAACACAAATAAGTAGCCAATCAATTAGGATAAAACAGCCTGCACAGGGGAAGCCCTCTGCAGGCGGAACCACTCGCGCGATGATGGTCCGGCTGGGGGCTTTAAAGAAGTTCACTTCTCCTTTTGCCAGCGACTGAGCGCATCTATTGGGGCATTAAGAGAATAAATATAAGCATTAAGTTTAAACTTAAGCTGGTTATTTATCACTTAGGAGCTTGTCGTACACAAGAGCTGTCTAATGGGGCCCAGCCGCCTTCTTGGCTATTTCAGCACAGATGTTTTGTTCCTCATCGTCGCCACGCTGTTTGCGCTTCGAGTCTAAGGTCGCTGGTGGCGCCATCATCTCATAGTGGCTGATGGCCTTGTGCTCACTGGTCCCACCTCTCCGTTAATTACCTATTGGTCGAAAAATCTCAATTAACACCGTCGGCACTCTAGCGCAGTAATGAGATTCAAATATTAGTAGCTTCACCGCAGCCTCAAAAGTAGGGGAACGGATAATGGGGGCAACCGCACTCAGCTTCTTCAAAATGGGAGGCCCTGCACGACCGAGTCGAGCAGCGCGCGAAGTTCTGTGAGTGTATAGGTCCTCCAGCTGTAGCTTAATAGTGACTCTTTGAAAGACGCACAGGGTCACCAACAGAGCTTTCATCCGCCGATGCATTGTCGTTAAGGATGAGGTCAAAGACAGCGTCAACTCGTTTATTTTGCACCGGCAACTGAACGGAAAAGGGTCTTTTCATAAAGTTTTTTAAATTGTTTTAAAAAGTGTGTTTTAAGAAAACTTCTTTATAGTACTTATTGTATTAAAAACTTTTTACATGTAACAAGTACGGCTAGCATATGTCGGTGCATACTTCTGTGAATGTATTGTACTTTTCGCCCAAACTTGCCGTTTTGGTCCAATTTAACGAGTCACTCGCCCTGCTACAACGTACCTAAGAAAGCATATTGCTCTCGTTTACCCACCATTCATACAGGTATCAGTTTCCTATAATTGTTCGTGCAACATTCCATAGTAAAATAGGCGTACTTAAACGCGAGGCCGCGACACAGGTATCATTAAATGACAAATTTTGCTTATTTTAATAGTCAACACAGGTATAGATGTCCATAGCCATCGTCACAAGATTTTAATATAACTATCCGGGTATTCTTAATATTTTAAAGAAATTACAACACCAGCTTAGCTTTGACTGAAATATATTTTAGAAAGCTAAATATTACCTAGATCAAGATCTGTTTTGGGTACGCTAAATCATTTTTTTTTCTAAATTTGGTCCCTCGAACTCGAAAAAACATGCTCTATTGGTAAGGCAGTGACTAAAATTTGACCAGGGGTTAATGGTAACTCCAAAATCGGTGGAGCTAATATAGTGATAATTAAAAAAATATATCACCTGGTAGACCAGTTAAAAATACTATCCAATATTATCTAATAAGACAAACTGATATTAGTAAATATTAACTCGATATTAGTAAATATTAACTCGATATTAGTTAACACAATATTATATTTTTAGAAGATTGCGTAATCGGAATAAATACACCAATCACGTGTAGCTACAGTTCGACTAGCTGACAGATTACTAATACAGTGAGTCGAGTCCGGGACAATTGTGAAAGTGACGGCAAGGTTAATGTGGTGTGTTGGTACTGCTCAGCGCATTAATCTAGCGTCACAGGTTGCAGGTTTACAAGACGCACGATGTGGACGAGTCTATCGGCAGAGAACAAATACTTCGATTTCGATCTATCGACTTCAAACAGCTGCAACCATTTGCAATAGACCATCTCGATTGGCTTTTTCTGTGTCACAGTCCAAATACTAGAACAAACACTCGGTTTTGAAGCCTGCCATCACTACTGCTGTTTTAGAATCTGACCGAAGGAGTTAGCCCTCTGTGCACTCAGCAGACTCTGCCAGACGGTAAGGTGTCAAGAAACGTACTTAGGTGAAAAATATCATAAAAAAATCATCTAGTATCTAATATTTTCAAATCTCTGAGTTAGTATTTGAATACTCCTGTTAACTTTTGCAAAATTGACTTATTATTAATATTCGAAATTGAAAATAGTACTAGTACTATAAAAAAAATTAAATGATTTTTGGTAAACATTAGCCCCTGCTATTGCCACATGGCGTGAATCTATCACCTCCTAAACCCTAACCTAGACCTTTCTGAAACACGCAGATCCTCAATGATTACGTTAATTCAGCCCCGTACACATCCGGGCAAGCCAGGAGCTATACAATTCTGTACAGTACTGTACTGTGCTGTGCTAAAATGTACTGAATTGTTCTTACGGTACTGATGAACCCTTCGGTAGTAGTCCCTACTCTTGGAATACCCGCCGACAGGAATAAAAAATCGGTTCCCGAAGTCTAGAACTTTGCAGGCCTAACATAATAAACCTCTCACTAATATGAAATACAAAATTACCAAAAATGACTGTTCTGAGGTGCTAAGCTATAGGAAGGTCACTCTTGTTCAGCACGTCTGAAATAGAAAACCAAGGACCCTTGCTGCTTGCACCCGTACTTCCTGCTTAGCTCGTATCGCAGCTCTCTCTGCATCGCTCTAAGCCCCTACTCACCTCCTCGAGAATCTGCTCGAAAAAGAAGCTTTGCGATCCAGGTGAGGTGCTCCTTAAGACCCGCAAGAATCAATTGTTCTATTGACTTCTGTAAGTGTACCATTTCGACGGTACATTTGGTCCCACAACAATGATACCCTTAGATAGACATGGTTTCCGGCGCTATGACTACGGAAGGGTTCATCTGTAGAATTTGTAGTGTACTACAATACTTATACTACCTACGGCTGTAGAGCCACAAACACTTGAAATTGGCGCTCTTTGTCCCGACCTGTGAACTGGGTTTTCGAAAAAGACCAATTCACATCAAAATTAATTGTGATTTGGATTTTTTCGAAGTTTTCGGCGGCGTCATTGACGCCGCCGCTATTGGGAAAAACAATGGAGGGCCCCACTCGAAGGGCCGTCTTCGAAAAGGTGCAGCCATGACCCGAAAGACGGGACTTGCACTGGTACCGGCATTGCTTTTTTGTTATTGCTTGTAAAGATAAATAAAAAAAAATAGCTCGCTTACCGGTATATGTACAGCTATTTCAGATTTGTTCTAGGAAACCCAGGTTTTGCATCCGTTCGAATAGTTTTTCCTGCGGGAATGCGCTACTGAATTGTTGTCTTTGGGATGCGCAGTATCAACATGCTGGCCATTTTTAATTGGTGGTCATTCAGTACAGTACATTACATGTACCCCTCTTTATTGGTGGTCGACGACCACCAATAAAGAGGGAACCATGGGTCGTACCACACACTGGTGTCGATCAAATGTAAAATCATTTCCAAGGCCCTCTTGCGTAGTGTACATATAATACTGCTCCAAGCTACTCCAAGAAAACATGTACAGTACTGCACCCCGTTAGGATTTGCAAATAAAGCAGACTTCCCCAGAAATTTCTTGTTGAATTTTGTTACTGTAGACTCTCCGGCGCACACACAAAGCAGCAACTAGTGCTAAAAAGAGTCGTGACTCATTTCATGTATAAGTACTCGTGTATCGAAACGTTATTACAGTCCCTGTACTTGTATGTTATGTATGTTACTAGCCTGTAGTACAGTACTGCACCGCGTTTTCGCGCCCTTGGACCTTTGATAAACTTCCGGATGCGATTGTCCTGAATTTAGAGTTTGTAAGCTAAAAAGCCAGTGACCTTATGCATGCTGCTGTGAACGCCGGACACGATTTTGCACCTATTTTTAAACTTTCTCAGAAGTAAAGCAGTTTTGGTAGAGCTGCTTCGTTTTTTAAAATGGTTATGCACTGTAGTATTCATATTTATACATGTATATTAAAGTACATGAATCTTATAATATAGACGCATACTGTAGAGTTCGTGTACTTCAGCTTTGGATGATACATGAGCTGTTTTATAAATAAAAGTGCTTCTGTTACAGATAAAAGGGCTTCTGTACTTTAATGATTAATGTATTATCAAAGTACTACATGTACAGTACTATTAATAATACATGTAGTACCTACCATTTTTCAGAATTTCTGTTGCGAACGTGATGAGGCGGTTGAAGCATCCCGAGGCTGGATTGCAGCTAAGCTGGACCAGCTGAGCTCAAAGCTTTTGATAGCCTGCAGACCAGCCTCGAGGACTGTCTTCAAGCGATCGCATTACCGTACGAAGGCCCGTGACGACAGCGAAGACTCTTAGCCGAAGAGTGAAGCTTCTGATTCAGTATACAGTTCGCGCATTTCCTTATCCAATCTGGCTGTTTATACATGAAAATCTGGCTGTTTATAAACAGCCAGATTGCACTTTCTTTTATATTCAAACGAGAAAGCCGACCATGAAGCCCAAAGTACATGTACTTCACTGTAAGCTTAAAGAACACGCAGATTGTCGAAAGACAGGAAACTTTGACAGCAATGGACTCGTCGAAGTCATTTTGTCAACCAAATTTCACGGATTCTTTTTCGCCGGCTTCAAGCTGACGTTTAACTTCGACGTTGTAGCTACTACCAGTATCAGAACCAGATCTCCTAATAATTCTAAACGATGGTGATCGTGAGCGATTGTACAGATACTGGTACATGCACTGTATACAAAGAAACTGTACCCAGTACATGGTACTTTCAGCGATCATTCAGTGCACTTTGATTCAAGCCTATGAAAATGTCGATGGGCACAACGTGTCTTTGAGCGTATACCTCTTGTAAGTCGGTGCATTACATGTAGCCAAGACACCAGAACTGGCAGGATCGCTTTACCCTTCGCAGCTAGAATTCATTAGCCATTTTGCTTAGTTGGTGAACAATCAGGCACCATGGCTCCGAAACCTTCGTCTGCACTCTTCACGTTTGAGGATGCCAGGGCAGCCTTCAACATTTTCTGCTGCGTGTGCGGTATCGGCTCGCTCGGTATGCCGTCCAACTACGCTCGCGCAGGTTGGGTGTTCGCTACGATCGCGCTGCTGTTCATGGCGTTCGCCAACATCTACTCGTCGGTGCTGCTGTCCAAGGTCTTGTATGTGGCTCCGCCCACAGTTCGGACGTACGGTGATCTCGGTGAGTGGGTTGCGGGCCGGTCTGGACGTTTCGTGGTGACGATCTCGCAGATGGGTGTGTGTCTGCTGCTGCCCTGCGCCTTCCTGGTGCTCGGTGGCTCGCTGCTGGACGTGCTGTTCCCGGACTGCTTCAGTCAGTCGGTGTGGATCATCTTCATGGCCGCCATGGTCGTCCCTGTTGCGCTGATCCCGACCATGAAGGAGAGTACGGGAATGGCTGTGGCCGGTTGCCTCGGCACGATCGTCGCCGATTTTATCGGTATTTCTATCCTGTTGTGGGAAGAACGCGGCCACCCCTCGCCCCCCACGGCCGATGTGACGGCCCACCAGGTCATCAACACGTTCGGTAACTTGTCGCTCGCCTACGCTGCCGCTACCGTCATTCCTGACCTGCAGCGTCAACACTCGCAGCCCGAGCGTATGCCCCGTGTTATCATTGTCAGCCTCGGTATCGCGTCCGCTTTCTTCATCGCCGTCGCTGTCTCCGGTTACGCCGTCGGTGGCTGCCAAATGTCGGGTAACTTGCTGTTCTCCGTCGCCAACACGTCCGGCCCGTCGGCTCCCACCACGCTGGGCTTCATCGCCGACCGTGGCGCCGTGGTTATGGCCTTTCTGTTCATGCAGATGCACCTGTCCATCGCCTTCTCGACCTTCCTGCACCCGGCCTTCTACATGCTCGAGCGTATGATTCTGGGCATGCACAAGGTGGAGGCTGTGACTGCTGAGGGCGAGGAGAAGATGTCGTACCTCAACGCGTCGACGCCCGCTGACCTGGAGAGCAACGAGCAGCGTGTGTCGCGTCCTCGCCCCTCTGGCCGCGTCTCTGCGACCAACACGATGGTGGCGGAGGAGGATCTGTCCGAGTACAAGGGCGGCGCGAACGTGTTGCGCTACATCATGATGCGTATCACGATGATCACCATTCTGGTGGTTCTCTCGATCCTACTGCGTGAACACTTCCTCGACCTCGTGGACTTCACGGGCGCCACCTTCATCACTCTGTCGAGTCTGATCGTGCCTCTTCTCTTCTACATCAAGGTGTTCTGGGCCAAGGTGCCGGCGTGGGAGAAGCTCATGTGCGTGACTGTCGCCACCATCTGCACCGTGTGCGGCATCTACGTCATGATCTACTCGGCCAAGAACCTCTTCAACCCCAGCAGCAACGACGACGAGGCCACGTTTCCGTACTGCTCGGAGGAGTTCCAGGAGGAGCCGTACTACATTAGGAACAACAGCACGGCCTAAAGCCGTTGAACAGCTTCGACTTGCACAAGCATGCAAGTCGGCACTAGTATGTACTTTCAGAAAACAATATTTTGGCATCACGACCAGCTGGCTATAGTTTGTATTGATAGTAGTAGTACGAATACGTACAAGTTGTACGGTACAGTACAACCTCGCACTGTAGCTGTAGTACTAGTACTAGTACGTGGACTGATTTTCTGGACTATTAATATTAGCATTTCTTTTTTCTACGTTAGTATACTAGAAGTATTTTTTATACTATATTACTACGTAGTACAAAGCGTATTACAGCCTAGTAATACTGTCGTACTTAATTAATACCGCGCTTTAGCCTAGTGATACTGTCGTACTTAATTAATGCCGCGCTTTGCGTGGGTTCCAAGGATTAATGGTCGTAGTTTTAGTACCTGATTGTTTTGTGCATACGCGGCAAATAATGAGGTAGTGTGGAACCAATGCAACATACAACAAAGTCCATACTATGCGATGCTGATACTGAACCAATATAACTTAATAGCTATTTATGATGCTGAAGGACTAGAACTATAGTGTAACTCTTTTAGATTGTTTATTTCAATTACTCTGTGATACATGTACCTCACAATTGGGTACCGGGCAGAGCTCGGGGAATGTAGCTCGAACAAATTCCATTATTTTTCACCATGATACATCGGATGAAGCGTTGCCTGAAAAGACATTCGTACGACATTTAAGACGAAAGGAGAAATTGGAAGCGATGGGAGCGGCTAGATAACGGTTAGCTAGTGACTGTGTTTCTGGCGTGAAGTGACAGTGGTGTGTGCATTTTGTCTGGCACGGAGTTGCTTGGCAGCGGCAGTGTGAGCGTCGTGAGGGGTGTACTTCTGTAAGTGGCGACGCCTCGGGCCGATGACAATTTGCAGCGGACCATCGGTTGACGCTGTGTCGGGCGTGGTGACGCTGGGCCGATGACAATTTGCAGCGGACCATCGGTTGACGCTGTGTCGGGCGTGGTGACGCTGGCTTCCGAGCCTTCATATGAGCTAGCAGTGGTGATGTGTCGCTGCTGTAGTGCATCTTCTGCAATCGCTTTGGCATGATGGCGTCGTACCCTGATCTAATAGACGGCATGCCGATTCAAGTCACCCAGAAGGTCGCCACCACCAAGGGCATCGCGAACAGCACACTCGGGAGGCTCGAGTACGTTCATTTCCGCACCGGGACCCGGTTTAAGCTCGTTCGGGACGGTACAACTGCCAAGCCGGTCACCTGACTACGCCATGATCTGCCCCCCCCCCCGAGGACACAGGCAGCACCAATCAGGGCCAAGCATCGACCCCGAATTGTTTCTCGTGCTCTTAACAGCCAAGGCTCATTCGAAGACGACCATTAAACTCGCGCCAGCGCCACACGACCAGCCCCGATCCATCACGGTGCGACCGCAGCAGGTCCCGTTTGTTTGCGCAGTCGGTTCAACGGTATACAAGGTACAAGGAGAAACGCTCGAGTTCATGGTCGTGAAGGACTGGGCTTCCACTCAGGGAGTAATTAATAAGCCCCAGCAAACGTACTTGCTAGTCTCGCGAGTGACCATGCGTCATGGATTGATCGCGATGGCACCAATAATAGCAAAACTTGCGGCATGGTCCAAGCCGTCTTTACACGCACTACAACAAAAGAACGACTCCAACATCTTAGCGACATTACGCTAGCGGGGTTCCACCTGCCAGTGACCGCCAACGTGATCGATCCTTCGATGCAGTAGTCGTCAGCCCCAAACCGGAAGCCTAACTAGCCATCACTTTGCATTAACACAAATGTAAAGAAAATGTAAGCAACAGCCACCACGCATAGTGACTGGGCGCATACAACCAACGCGTACCTTATGCTATTCAGATCGTCACCAAGTGGTCAGACTTCATGGAGCGACAGCACTTAACCATCGTCGACGCTTGAAACACACCCACCAGATCAAGAGATCGACCATAGAAGCATGGACCAGCGCATACCAATCTACCGATTCAAGAGAGACAGAGGCCTTGCGCATATCGGCATGACGACGTCTCCACCCACCAAATACCTGCGGGATTATGGGCGTAGCGGGAAGCCGAGGCAACGGCAGCACGCCCACCTTCGTGCACGCCGTTCTGTAGCCTCGATCGCGCAGCGACGATCACATGTGGTGACACCTCGCATACGGGACATACTTGCCGTCATCGTCGATGCAGCGACGACTGCCTCCGCCAACGTATTAGAATGCCTTGCAGAGACGCCACCCTTGGGCGCTAACGGGACTTCCTAGTCAATCCATACCGTAGCCACTACGTCAGCCAATATGCCTTTTCTTGTTAGAATGCACCTTAATTGGTCAAATATGTAGCTAATAGAAAAGGTTCAAACATCCTACTTCTTAAGGAAACTTAATAAGTAAACACATTGCCGAGGGATGTTAATGGCGAGGAGGACGCGTGGCGCGCCCGCTTTAAAAGGCCTCCTCACTTTGAAACTGACGGCCTATTACATAGAGCTCAATATTTCAGATACGTACGGAGACTAAGGCCCATGGTTAAAGGACACAATAGGAGTGCCCAGGTCCTGGGACTGGAAAAGTTCCATGGGGAGGACTACACCATGTGGCGAGACAAGGTGCTAACGCACATAGAGACGCTGGATGAGAAATACCAGCGAGGGCTGTTGGAAAAGGACCAGCCTGAGGCTACGGTTGTCATGATGGACTTCCTTGAGGGTACGCCTGAGAAACCCATCATTTCGGTGGAGGGGAATATTTCTCAAGAGGAGGCGAAGGCCAAGCGTTGGCGCCACCAACACTGGACATGGGCTCGGTCCGAGCTGTTGAACTTATTCAACCAAGCGTTGCCTAACGTTTTCTTGAGTGGGCTGCCGGATCAAGTGTCCAGAATGAATCCCTGTGACATATGGAAGGAGCTCGAGCAAAACTACGGGCTCGGGGATGCAGGAGGCGTAATCGAGCTGCGCCGCCAGTGGGAGCGTCTTCTCGCAGCGAACTGGACCAATCTGGGGGCCCTATTCGCCCAGTTAAAGAAGCTGCGTAACGACATTAACAGGAAGATGAGGGGTCTGGTTGGCAAGGACATGGTGACCGAGACCTGGTTGTGCATGGAAGTGTTGGCGTTACTACCAAGCGAGTTTTGGGGAGGCACAATCATCATGACTGAAGAGTGGTTTTCTATTGAAAACGTGGAGACGAGTCTTCGCCGCGTTTTCGGTGATCGATCGAGGAAGGAAGCCACGATGCTGACTGATAAGAGACGCCCAGTGACTGTCAATGCGGCAAGAAAGTTTACGGGGAAGAAAAGGAACCAAGGACAATCCTCTGAAGTGGCAGTAAGCGAGTGTTATTACTGCTTTGAAGATGCCACTGGAAGAAGGCCTGCCCAGTGTTGGCGGCTGACCGCAACCTGAAAAGGGCTGGAGGCAAGCTGCTTCGCTCAAACATACGGGCGGCTCCTGTCACCGAAACAAAGCGAGCGATGACGGTCAAGAAGGGGGGCAAGTCGACTACGAAGAGGATGAAGGTGAACCAAGACGAAGAAAGGACCCCAGCCCAAGCTGCCAAGTTCGACCTCAATTTGAACAAGGCAATTGAGGATGCCGACGAACTTGAGTACAAGGGGAGTGTTCCAGCGAGTGAAGGAAGCGAAGATGAGGCACCGATGCACTCAATGGAGATTGATGATGAGGTACGGAGAAGATACTCTGAGTATCTTTCTAAATTGAGGGAGTTGAACCTAACTGATGATCTATGGGTGGTTGATACAGGAGCTGGACACGCTATAAGCTCGGATAGAAGGTGGTTCAGCCAGCTTGGCAAAGGATGGACCCATATCTTTGAATATGGAAACGGAGGCACCTCGTCAACCAAGCTCCAAGGAGCAGTGAGATTTAGTATTCTCAAACCCAGAGGGTACTATAGTGATATCTCAATACAAAATGTTGCCTTTGATAAAGAGTGCGGTAGTAACTTGCTTAGTGCATATTATCTTGCCACACAAGGGTATCACCACATTCAGTCAAAAGGTGGGCAGTATTTGTACTTCCTTGATAGTAAAAACCGATTCATATTTGCTGCAGTTGCAATAGATGAGGTATACTATTTACCGAGTAGGAAACTGGATAATAATTCAAGAATACTATCCGTCGATAGTACTTCTCAATCGAAGATACAAAAGACGTTGAAGGAGTGGCACCTGAGGCTAGGTCATGTCGGTAAAGGCAGACTGATGAACATTCTGGCTGGCAGAGTAATCAGAGATGCACCCCAGTTATCTAGAAAGAAAATGGAACTGGTATCATTTATCTGTCGTACATGTGTGCTGGCAAAATCCCGGCGAATGTCTTATAGGAATAAGGTGACAGATAAGGTATCTGAGCCTTAGCACACACTGCATATGGACTCATTGGGAAAAATAAGACCACAGGGCCTCTATAATACTACCGGGCACAAGTATGCTCTAGCAATAGTAGATGATGCCACTGCTTATAAATGGTATTTCGTTCTGAAGTCTCTGAAAGAGGTTGGGGTTATTGTTAAAACCCTTATTAAGCAGCTGGAGAAACAATTCCCATACAAGGTAAAACGGATAAGGACCGACGGGGGTACAGAATTTGTCAACGAATTCTTAAAAGGGTACTGCGATAGAAGTGGGATCGTGTTCCAAAAGTCAAATGTAGAGTCTCAAGAGGAAAATGGGTCTGCTGAGCGAGCTCACCAGACAATAATGGGTAAAGTTAGATGCGCGTTAATAGGATCGGGTATGGCTGCTAAATGGTGGCCAGAGGCATTAAAATATATGACAGCAATAACTAATAGGATACCAACAGCCCGGCTTAAGGGTAAGAGTCCATACGAAGCACTGTTTGGCACCAAACCAACAGGAATTGAGCTTCACATATGGGGCAGTACGTGCTACGCCCATGTACCAAAATCTAAACGACCCAATCCGAAGCTTAGTGAGCGGGCGCTAGAGTGCAAACTTCTC